AAAGCTCGCGAAAGGGCGGCGAAAGGTTCGCGAAAGGTTCAAGACTCAGGCATAGCTGCACCGTCGCGCACGCATACGGCTTTTTCTCGACAGGATTGTTTTGGCTTTCACGGCCAAGCTTTTCTAAGAGAATATGTGCGGGCATTTCGTGCAATGTGGCAAGTCCAGCAACTTTCAGTACAAAAGTGCCACCAGTACTATTGTTCTCATCATCAGTATCACTGTCCATCAATGTCCATCAAATCGTTTCCGGGGCAGATGTTGCAGAACGGATTTTGGCGAAAGGCCCGCGGAAGCCGCGCGAAAGGAGCGCGAAAGGCACACATGTCCCAGGAAGGTAAGTTGGCCACTGGGCCTTCTATGAAAAGCCCGGCGTCTTGTTTCCAAGAATGAGTAATTAACTGCAGGCCTTCATGCGGAGTAGCGCCTTGCAAACCAATAACCAGTTTAGCCAGCGCACGCAGGGCGAGAACGTCACCGAGTTCGTAGCTTAGGTCTAGGACCGTTTACAAATGGGATTTGGATAAGGTTTGTCGCGCATCTCAAGAAATGCTGCGGGCGAAAGCTCGCGAAAGGTCCGCGAAAGGGCGGCGAAAGGGCTGCTTTTGGGACAAGAAATATTGGACAACCCCCATTTGGATGCCGTTCTAAGCCCCGCCTTTTGTAACATGACTAAGGACGGCATTAGAGTTTTGAAAGGTGTTGCAAAAACCCATGCGTGCGCAAGGCAGCGCAAGGGCGGGAGCAAGAATCCATATTTAGTCCGTGGACCATTTTATGATTACGCTGCATGCAAGGCTAGAAGAGCGCCCAAAACCCCACTCGCACAAGACGGCGCAAGGGTGGGCGCAAGAAAGTCCTAATGCTGGAGCACTGATACCAGAATTTAGAACAACATCCATTCACTGATCTGTTATTATTTTGCCTCATTTTATAAATCTTTATTTGACTAATTCATCTCTAGGCAAGCAGTAGATGGGTGCTGGCAGGGATATGCACGTCTAACTACACAAGGCACTGGCCAGGGTCGGCAGCCCTGCTGGCAATGAGCAGCCCAAGCTTGAGATATGATCCAAATATCAAGGCTCCAATTGCCCAACTCATCAAAGACCAGTTTTTGAGTTCAACATTGGAATGACCCAAAATCGGTGTCCTGGCGCTTGCTCTGATTTTGCAACACCCGCTGTTTGGAAGGCAGGTAAGGAAATTGAGCTAGTGCATCTTGAAAGACCAGCGGTTGACACCATGCATCATCACAACTTCTTTCAGAATGTGCAATTCCTTTCGCAATTAGACGGTGGGCATGATTGACACGAGGTCGTGGACAGGACGGATGAGTTCAGGCAGATGCATGTGCATTTTCAGAATTCTGAGAGCTCTTAGCGGTGTGAACCCTGCTTGCAACTTTTTTAAAGTGTGAGGTCGATTTGCCTTCGACATGCATATCGCGCGACGGATATTTCTATTGTTGACCGAGCATGTACTGATAGTCAAATTTCGCAACCTCTCCGCGTAGCTTTAATCACTGCTTCCCTTGGCCTCGCTGGTCTTGGCCGGGCAACTCCCGGAAGCCGACCCGGCCCCAGTCGACCGTGGCTGGAACGAATTCTTTTTTGTTATTATCGTGCCGGCGATGAATACGTCATTGCAATGGTTTGGGGCTAACGTTGATGATCCTTGTGCATGCGCCCACTTGCAAATGCGTCCAGTGTAGGTGTGGAGCTCAGATCTTGTTTTCGGTTGCCCAAAATTTCCAGTGTTCGTGGCGTGCCATGCTTCTGCGCCCGGCTGCCAGGCCTTTGTACGGGGGCAGGTTTCGCATGGCAACTGTCATGGCTCAAATGATGCCGCCTACCAAGCTGGTATGGAAACAGCTGAGCCCAACGCCTGATCCGGCGAAGGGCGTGCCGTGTGAAAGAAGCTCACACGGAATCTCTTTCATCCAGAACGAGGCAGGAACCAGGCTTATTGTGTATGGTGGTGAAAATGTTGCTCGGACATCCGTAGATCCATCTCAGGCTTTGTGGGCAGCAGATTTCAAGGACAATTCCTGGAGTTGGAGATCATTGAACTGTGATGGTCCGCCACCGCGGGTGGCACATGCCCAGGCCTCTGTGGCTTCCGCAGTTTACATCTTTGGTGGAAGGTGCGGCATCGGCATGGACGAGAAGCCCCTGAACGATCTTTGGGTCCTAGACTGTCATGGTCCGCCTGGGAAGGAAAATTGGCGGAAAGTGGAGCTGGGTGCAGGAAGCGACGAACCTCCAGAGCCCAGATCCTTCCATCGAATGATCGCAGTGAACAGCGACCTCTACGTCTTTGGTGGCTGTGGCACGAGTGGGCGACTGGCTGATCTTCACAGGTTTGATACTGTAAAGAACGTTTGGCAGAATCTCGGCAAGTCAGATCTCTTGCGAGGCCGAGGTGGACCAAACCTCCTTCATTTGAAGTCTGATCGGCTTGCTGTGATCGCCGGGTTTGCGGGTGAGGAAACAAATGACGGACATGCCTACGATCTGAGCAAGGGCAGATGGGAGACTGGTGCCATCAGCGGCCTAGCGGATCTTCGCCCCCGCAGCGTTTGCATTGCAATTTCCCTTCCGGTAGGCAAGGCCCTCATATTCGGAGGAGAAGTCAATCCTTCAGATTTGGGACATGAAGGTGCAGGCAGCTTTGAGAACGATGTTGCAGTACTAGATTGCAACACGGGAGCGCTCTTGGGTAGCGTTCCCTCTTCGGCTGGGTGGCCAGTGCAGAGAGGGTGGGCAGATGGAGCTGCTGGAGAGTCAAATCGCTTCTACATTTTTGGGGGGCTCACCGGAGATGACACGAGTCCTAAAAGACTCAGCGACTTGTGGCTTTGTGATGTCGAATAGTGGGTCCTCAGCCCGCCTACTCTCCGAAAATGGCCCCTCTCTTCGTGGACGAAAGCCGAGCACCGGCGACAGAGGTGGTGGTTTCAGTGCAGAACATGGGCAGGTCCTGACACAAGCTCGCGGCCACGCCGTCTGAAAAGTGCTGAGAACGGGGGACCCAATGTAGGAGAACGCAGGTTTGATTTCCATCTCCTTACCGATAGGTGTCGCGTTCACAGCCCCTTTTGAGGTTCATGTTTGGTTGGAGCACTGCGACCCATGTGTGTCCACAAATTAGACAGACGACCTCGTCATGCAGAAATAGATTGCCAGAAATTGGCTCCTCCTGGGGAGATGGTGGCTAAAAGATGCTAGAAAGTAATATAGTGGGCTTCTCAGGATCGTCTTAGGTTCCGTGTTTTAGGTCCGTCAGAAACCACAGAACTTTACGAAGAGAAAGGAAAGGAAGCCAATGATAAATCTTGGAATTCAAGGGTTGCCGCGCACAACTCGAGGGCCACACTGGTACAAGTTCGCATGTTCTTCCTTTTGGGATGTGTACTCATCTGCTACACGAGCCACAATCTTTATACGGGGTTATATAGGGGACTAGTATAGGGATTATTACGGGGGATACCAGGAGTTTAGTCTCTTCTGCTACATGTCTTCATGAAGGCCCCAAGGCAAAGCTGCGAAATCTGGGCAGGCAGATACTCCGAGAAGTCGCTTCCAAGAGCGGAACACCAGGCTGGGCAGCAGTAGTATGCTATAGCATATTATATTATAGATTAGTCTATTTTGGTATATTATAGTAGTAAGCATAGCCTGCACTTCCAAGAGTTCCTGGAGGTCTTAACTTGGAAATGACTCCGCATGCGCAGTCGGAGGCCTAAGCTTACCGCTTGGGTTCGTTCGAGTCTTATCTCTATATGAATACTTTGCTCTGGGCGGGTGGTGCAGTTTGTAGGATATTGTAAGCATCACAGCTCCTTACTTTCCTGTACTGTGAAAGATGTGCCTAAGGTCCGAGCTGAACCGGTGGTCTGCTGAAATCGGTTCAGAAATCCATGAGGCCTCTTTGAAGGTGGCCGATCTCAGGCCAGCCATTTGATTCTGCAGGTAGATTTATGGGTTTAGCATATCTGATAGGTCTTGTCACGACAGCTTCCTCGGAAACTTTTTCGTTTTGAGTCCAGTTGTGCCGATCTGTCCTAAGCGGGTGTGGGGGAGTGGGGGCCCCAAAACGTAAAACGTGCCATGTTTCAGGGGCAGCCCGCTGCAGGCCAACCCGAACGGTTCGGCGGCGGTTAGGCAAACCGGACTCTGCCAAAATACGCCATAGCTCAGGTGCCCAAAACATGCCACGTGGCCGCCCCCCGGACCGGCGCCCGTTTCTCTGCCCGCTCGCGGTCCCAGGCACTGCTCGTGAAGGGCTGGTATCGGAAACCACCAGGAAAAACTCTCCCCTGGTGCGGCCTGGCACGTTCAGTTTCATGCTCGCGGGTCTGTCTCACGCGCTCGACATCTTTCAAAAACTATCTTCACTTGCATGCTGCACGGTCGGTCAGAGCCTGCTCCTGCCTCCCGCTTCGAAGCTTTTGTCCCCGCAAGCGACCAAATATAAATAGATAGGTCAGACATCTAGAAAGAAGCATGCCCCAGGAAGATGTCCAAGCAGAAGAGCATCTTCAATGACAAGACCAACCAAATTCAGGACTGACTGGTGCTTTGCTTTGCGGTTGACCAGTTATTCACCGCTGTATACTCAATAGGCAGGGCTCGGACTGTAGAAGCATGGAATGTAACAGCACCCAGTTCGAGCACTTTGAACCACAAAATCTGGAGCCCCGAAGCCAACGTGGCCAACGCTCACCCTGCGGTCAAAGTTTGAACTCAACGGCTTTTTAGGGATGGTGGTGCTGCTGCCATCGCCCAATTCAGGAGCTGACCTACACGGTGAAGCAGAGCATCCAGTTGCTGAACCAGAAGATAGAAGCGCTGGAGATGAGGACCAAGGGCTCAGGGCCGCGGCCTCTGCGACAAAAGTCTTCGTCATAATCGACAGGGTGGGGTTGGAGTCCACTGCGGCTTCATGAGCTTACAGGATTCGGGGGAGGTCTGCTTTTGAGGAGAGGATTAATGGAGAGGCATCGGCTAAGGCTACACAGGTGGGGCAGGCGTGCGATAGGCGAACCTGGTGCTTTGTCCCGTGAAGACTGACGCCTTTTAAGCAAAGGAACCTTTATTCGGTTTCCATGCCCTTTTCACCTTGCTCTTGGCATGTGAGGCCCAACAAAAGCTACCAAGCCCACTCCTCTGCCCTCGTGGACGCGCTGAAAACTAGGCGCGCTTCACATCACGAATCCGGGCAGACAAAAAAGGCTCAAGACTTCAAGAATCAAGAGCCTGAGGCTTCTCAAGAAATGGTCGGGACTACGTTCTTGCCTTTGTCCCTTAGAACCTTCTTGTGAAGTCCTCCTCGGTGTGCAAAGAGTACAGTATGTGCCGGGCTGCCTTGTTTTGTTTTTGACTCATAAGGCAGTAAGATCTTGCGCATTTCCCACTGAGAGACAAACAGAAAGTTCACACACATTTGTTTGCAAGTGCTCTGGGGTGGAGTTGGAGCTTGAAACCTTGAACTGACCCGTTTTAGCCTTTCAGGTTGCTTCAATTGCGCAGGTTTTGAAAGCAGTTTCCAAACACAGGGACATTGCTTTGCAGGCTGCTGCAAGTTACCAAGGAGTTCAAAGATGCTTTGGAGGACGCCTCATCCAAACTGCTGCTAGCAGCTAAATGCTGGCAGCCTGCAGTTTATAAGCGCCACGTGATGGTGAGGGTCCTGTCTCTTAGCTGCAAATCTGCGGATTTGCTATTTAGCTTCCACATGCTGCGAAATTTGCACGACGATGCATGACACATGCAGAAGCCACAGCTGTCCGTGTTTGGGACATTCATTTGCCAAATGCCCACCCCTTTTAAAAAGCACAAGTGCTACAGTAGACCTGCTAGTTGCTACTGCGCTGCAGGATCGCACCAAGGCGCTGGAGCAACAGGCATGCCTCCAGCAGTACTTGCTGTAGCCTCGTCCTGATCAGATCGGGGTCATGTAAGCACGGTGTTAGTAAGACCTGGTTCCTTTAAGGTCTTAGCCTTGCCAGAGACATCTTTGATTCCTCTAAGCTGCTAGCGTAATAGTTCTGCAGACGCAAGACACCAATCGCACATTCTGACAGAGCTGGCCTGCGAGGCTTCTGCGCCAATCTTAGCTATAGTGACGGTCTTTCTGGAAGCACGATGGCAGGACAAGAGGAGACAGATGTACTCAGCTGGGGCAGGCTTTGATGCTGGCCGCCAGAGGCCTGAAGAATTTGGTGAGGGAGGTTTCAGAGAACCTGAGCATTGGCGAGCTGAAGCGGTAGGCCCCAGTAGACTTGATCGATAAGTGCCCGGAAGCTTCTTCTTATGGCCTTGAGGGCAGCCCCGAATGTCAAAGCCCAACACTCCAAGTGATTTCGAGTCCACTCTCGACAAGGCCATCCCCTAGCGGCAATCCGGAAGACCTGGAGGGTGGGGGCGGCGCTCGCGCAATGTCCATGCAGCAAGGCTGCCTGGCTATTTTGGATTTCATCTTTCGAAGCCCCGATGTTGCTGGCTTCTGTGGTCAGACACTTGGTATGCCATCTCAGGCTATCACAACTCGAGGGCAGAGGCAGTGCAGAGCGTTCAGAAGACCATCGGTGAGTTAGCCCAGATGTTCCAGAAGAATCTTGCCTGGCACTGGCTTGTATATTGTCAATCTCAAAGTTGGACCGCATACCGTCCCACACAAACAGCTGCAGGATGGCGGTGATGGTGACCGCGCAGGAGGAAATGATACAGCGCATTGACAGTGACCTGGACGACACGCTGGACAACACAAAGAAAGCTCAGGAGACCCGTGACTTAGCTGCGTCTCAATAGCGCTGAGATCCGTCAGGACAACCTGCTTGAGTACTTCCATTACATTTCCTCCAATCGTGCCTTGGCTGGTCAGGTTACGGTTTCCTAGACTCGGAGGTCATCTTCAGTGTACACTGAGGTGCTCTCATCATCAAGGTCTTCTTGATTCTGATCTTTTTCGTGATATTCTTCGTTGTCTTTTTAGCCTGAGATCAGAAGCGCAGCCTGAATGCAAGTATAGTTGCAATTGGCATGGAAGGCAGAGGGTACTTCCTGATAGTCATTCAGTCATTCTTTGACACGGAGACAGGGCAGCGCTCGGCAGTTCGGCCGATTTGAAGTGTCTCAAATATTCGGTGTCATGCCTATGACCCACAGCCAGAAACCCAGCAAAAACAAGCGGTGAGACAGCAAGCTCATCCTTTGAGATCTGCGTGGGTGCGTGCAGAAGCCCAGTGCCCTCAAAGAGATCCATCCTGCAGTTAGCGTCAAGCAACGGTTACCCCGCTGCGGAGAGTGCGAGAGACCGGCTAACTGCCGTGCAGGCCTAGATGAGTGATCATGTTGTAGTTGGCTGAGTTCGATCACGTACAGTAGCGTTCGGTTCTTGGGGCCATTCTAGAGTCGAGGCTTGGTTGTGCCAGTTGTGCCACAAGCGTCAAGAAGGTTTTGCATACCTAGCCAAGAAAAGGAGCTTTCGCGCTTTTTCGTAATCCAGACACGCACAGCGGACAGCTTCATCGGGCACTCCTAAGGAGTGTTGGGCCGGCTTGCCACATCTTCTGCCCTTCACGCTCTAGCTTTTGGCGTTTCCCATAGTTCTCCTCCGTGCTGCTATCACGATGAGTGCCAAGTGGGCGCTATAGTTGAGTCCAGCAGGAGATGGTGTCCGGCAAGTCTTGTGCAGTGCCTAACTCTCCTGTAGTGGACCCAGTACCTGCTACAAGCTGCAGCAGAAAAGAGGGGAAGAGCGTCGATTGATGTTGATTTTCCAGCTTGCCACCTTTGCACAGCAGTGGCATGAAGGGAGTGCCGACGCATGCGGCTCGAACCCAGGGCGCCCTTTGAGGTACTAAAAGCTGCCGTTGCTCTCGCACGCCGCTGTTGAGAGTCTGATGGTACGCGGAGCCTTGCTGACGCAGGGCCTTCGCTACAGCGGTCTTTGATTGCTGCGCTTCGAGCCCTACTCCGTGGTCTGTTACCAGCAGGCCTTCGATTTCCTTTGTGCCCGCCTTAGTGCCGGTACACGCAGCTTGTGTTCTTGAACATGACGACCAAGCTTGAAGTTGCTCGTTTTGGTGTTCCCCAGTACAATGGTGAGCCAGAGCTGTATGAGGAGTATGCAGAGAGGGCCTGGGATCTTTGGTACGGCCGTAAGGGCACAGAGACCACCCAGGTTTCGACTCCCATTCACCTCAGGTTTGGCTTGACAGGTCCGGCTTACGATGCTGTCAGGAAGCTGAACCACTCGGACTTGATCTCTAAGGACTCCGAAGGTAAGCCGTCTACAAAGGGCATCCAGCTTCTCGTGAAGACGCTTCGTGAGAGCATCGACCACGAGAAGCCGGTGAAGACGAACGAGCTGTTCCTTACCGCCTTCTACTCCCCCACGGTCTGGCGCTTTCAGTCCGAGTCTATGCCGGCCTACATCGTGCGCCGCGAGCAGGAGTTCCGTCGCCTCGAGGAGGTGCTTGGTGGAGCGAGAGCTTGCGTGCGATGTGCTTGTTGACTTTCGGCGGCCTGGACCACAGGGAGCAGCTCAACGTCCTGTCCTCCGTCGGCAACGACTACGACCTGAAGAAGGTGAGCCACGCCCTGAGGATTCAGCTCCCCACGTGCTCGGGGAAACCAGCGCATCGCCGAGATTACTTGGGCTGTGGCCGTCGTCATTCGAATCCTTTGCCAACCTCCTTGAAGTCGAGGCCTAAGCCGTTCTCCTCGAAGGGTGGCAAGGGAAAGAACCGTGGCTATGTGCTCGTTGCCGAGAATGGCCAGGACGAAGCCGAGGGCGACGAGATCTTTTACGACGATGACGAGGACGACCCCGAGGACGAGGCTTACGAGGTCGATGACGATGGCGATGCCGACGATGCTGTTGAAGCATTGGCTCAGGACATGGACTTGGCAGATGACCCCGAGCTCGTCGATGCCTTCGCTACGATCCTTCAGCGCAAGAAAGGACAGAAGCCCCATGGCAAGGGTTCAGGGTCAAAGGGCCAGTCTCAGAGCTTTCCCTTCCAGGCAAAGGGCGAGGTGACGGTCGACCAAAGGACACGTGCCATCAGGTTCCTGAAGTCGGTCACTCCGTGTACTTCGTACGGCCTGAAGGGGCACTGGGCAGGCAACGCCGAGTATCAGAATTCCAGGAAAGGCAGCAAAGGTTCGGCCGCGACCAAGAAGAAGCCCCTTGCGAAGAAGAAGTCCGCTCACTACTCTTTCTTTGTCGTGGGCGAGTTGCCGGCAGGCGACTCCGAGAAGACGACGGCCGAGAACGACGTGCTTGTCGCGGAGAACGGTGTCTCCTTTGAGCCCGGCTATGGTGCGTTCACGAACCGCTTCGAGATGGAGGGCGAGGATGCCGAGTCGTACATGGTGTTGCGCGCGGAGGAGCTCTGCGAGCATGCCTCCTACAACGGGGGCGGCGAACGGAAAAGTACCACCGGTCCGCCACTGGACACATGAGACTCATTACTTGCAAGGAAGGCGAGTGCAACCGCTCCGTCATCCAGGCCCAACGCCGTGAGCCGAGTCAGCTTTGGAAGTTCCTGGTTTTGGTGGCCATGTGTACCAAGATACCAAGTTTGGAAAGGAAGCCCGCTCGAGAGCGTTGTTCCAAAGGGTTGGTTTGGTCAGGGGCCAGGCGTTGGAGGACCGAGAGCGTGAACGACAAGTGCGACCTCCCAACTTGGGACCTGCTTGCGCCTCCTGCGTCGCCTGGGTCTCCTTGATCGAGATTCCCGCCAACAATGCTGCACCTTCGGCGGCACCTTCGGCGGCACCTTCGACGGCACCTTCCACCGCTCCATCCTCGACAGTCCCAGTGGCCAGGATCATGCGGAACGAGCCGACGGAGCAACGAATCTGGACCTACGGCGTCTGTGTTGGTCCTTCTCTTGACTTGCCTGTTTTGCCCTCTTTTGGCCGAGGAGGACGTCGACATCATGATTCCATTGCCGGGTGACGCCAACCTTCTGAGAAGCGAGTCTCCATACTGTGGCAGGACTTTTGAGGATGTGGCTTCTGCTGTTCTGGGTGGTGCGCTCAGGTCCTCTCCTTCGTCCTGCGCAACAATCCTATGCGTCCCGAGATTTACACGTTCGCCTTCGACTTGTACGGCGGGCTGCAGTTGATAAAGTCTTCCGTGTGCCGCGTGCAAGGACAAGGGCCAGATGCAAACAAGAGAGTGCACCGCCCCACCGACATGGTGACGACACGTCAGGTCCGAGTTCCGGTCGTGACGGGACCTTCTCGCCCTGACCTTGTTGTGGAGCACGACTGCGACGTCATGATGGTCGACCAGGCCGAGGGCGACGTTCTTGAGGATGACGCCACCGTTGCCGATGACATCGCTATCGGGTCGGATCCTCCTGCGCTAACCATCCTCGACTCTGGGTGCACAAAGACGATGCGTGGGACAGCCTGGGCCGAGCGCTTCGAGGCAGAGCTGAGCAGGCTTGGTCTGAAGTTCCAGAGCCAGAAGAGGAAGCAGTTGTTCAAGGGTGTTGGTGGCCAGATTCAGAGCAACTTGGTCAAGATATACCCCATTGGCCTGGCCAAGGTGCATGGAGAAATGTGTTCATCTGAAGCCCCCGGCCCTCTTCCGCTTCTGCTTTCCCGACCTTTCATGGAGGAGCTCGGCGCCGTCATTGACATTAACCAGGGCACTGTTCACTTCACTGCCATTGGGGTCCGCGACCTGCCGCTTCTAAACACTTCCAAGAGCCACTTGGCAGTGAACTTGCTCGACTTCGACACTAGCAGCCCCGTGGGTCATCGTGGTTATCCGAACCTGAGCTCTCCGGTGTCCGTGCGCTCATCGAGTCCGGCGACCGCATCGTCGTCAACGTTTCCGGGTGCATGCTTGGCTGCCTGGACGCAGAAACAGGGTTGCCTCACTGTAAACCGGCCGCTTTCGTCACGACGCTCATCACTTGCGAAAGCGTGTTCAGCGAATGCCGCTGTCCTGGAACTCATGAACATCAACCTCTACAAGGTTCCAACCAGTATGGCCGGAGGACAGCTCAGGCCGCCGTCTGGCCACTGCTTTTGAACGAGGAGGTGATGGAGGCGATCGCCCAACAGGCCAGCGTCGAGGAGTATGCGCACCAGCACGTCCTGGGGGCTGGTTTGGCCATACTTTGTAAGGCCATACCGCTCACGACCAAGAAAAAAACCTTTTGTGGCCAAACCGACTTTTCACGGTCATATGGATTTTCACGGTTTTAAGGTCCCAGGGCCTCAGGGCCTCATGGCCTCATCAAGGGCCTTCAGGGCCTCCCCAAACGCCTCCCCCCGTACTCCGACAAGGCCTCCCAACCCAGCCCCCCCCCACAAGCCTGCGCACTTGGTGAACCAGCATCATGAGCATTGGGCACCACATGTACAGAGCATATGTACAGACTGCGCAGAGATATCATGAGCATCAGTACAAAAAACGGGGCCGTCGTCCAAAAAAAAAAGGGGTCGGGTTGTT